GTGAAGATTTTTCATTTTGTAGAAAAATTTTGTAATTTTATTTTCATATTCCATCCATAATATTCTAGACCTTTGTCTTCAAGATGTTTCTTGATGTTTGGCTAGGTCTTGAATTTCTATCATGAGATAAGCTTTTCTAGTAACTCTCCTTCAGAGAGTCTTCTACTTTCTTAAATTTGATCAACCAATATGATTTTATTCAGAACTATCTTCTTTCTCTTTTTTGGAATGCCATAGTTTTCTCTATTCCACTCTTATAGTTTAGATTTGGGAAGCTTCACTTTGTTGGCTAGAAAAAATTAAGTCTACCTACAATCACAATGAAATTTCACTCGGTGTGTACTTTTCTTGTAAATTCTTCAACATCCAACCATTAATTTTCAAACTTGAAGTGTGAGTTTTTTAGGCCTCGTCCCCACATTTCAATAAGATTGGTATATGATCAGAGATCACTTTTGGAAGAAGATACTATTTGATATTACTAAATTCCTCATCTCACTCCATAGAGAAAAGGAATTTGTCTATTCTTAATGCACATGTAGAGTTGTCACCTTGGTACCATGAGCATATACCCTAGTTAAAATTTCATATCACTAGAGATCTTGTCTTTCCACTCTATGAGCATATACCCTAGTTAAAATTTCATATCACAACACTAAAATTGCGGGTAATAAAGAATCTTCCACCTCCACTCGACCCTTCAGCTTCTAGTTTGAGATGGTCAATCCACCTGCTGCTACCCAATTGTTTGGCTATGGCATTACAATCCCCCTCAATGGTTCTTGCAAACAATAGATATTTGCCCTCCACTTTTTGAAAGCTAATTTAATTAACTCCCCCCCCCCCCCCCCCCCCCCCCCCCCTCCCCTACATTTAAGCCCCTTACATTCCAGAAAATTATATGTATCTTCATCAAATTTTTATGTTGAGTAATCTCCCTCTATTTTTAGGAATTCCATCCTTGAAACTCATTACAAACTTCAAGTTCTTCCTCTCGTGAACTCTTTTTAATTTTGGTGAGGTACTAGTATTCTTGTTTTTCGTTCCCATTGAAGCTCTCATCTCCTTCTTCTTACTGTATATCTTCAAAAAAGAGGTCATAGCTTCCCATTTGCAGCCTTTAAAACTCACACATATTCTCTTGCTCATCTTCCTTATGTTTCTTTTGATCCATGCAGGGATATCAAGGTCACAGTTTTATAGAAGTATCTCGATAGGTTCTATCACATCAATTTGTTGATGATGAGCAATTGCATGTTACTATCATCATTATCTTTTTCAGAGAAATATTAAGAACAGTCTGTATTTCTTCTTCATCTGCATTAGCTTGTAAGCAGTTAACTAGAGATAAATGAGATATTATATTATCCCTCGCCGACCTTTCCTGTTGCTCTGTCCCTAAGGTTGACGGAGCACTTTTAGATGGGATTAAAATATTCTTGAGAGAGAGAGAAGCATTTTTTCCTAAGCTAAAAGTTGAACCTCCATTTTCTGCTACTCTTCTTTGACTGTTTGTGCAATTAGTTTTTTGATTTGTGATAGCAGACTCTCGAGATTACCTCATATGGCCTTTAAATTAAGAGCCGCGTCACTATTTTGTTTAAAAGGACTTGGTTTGGGATTAAGAAAGCCTTTACTCTTACACACAACATGTCTCTTTTGGGTCCATACACAGATGGCCCAACAACTTCTCATGCCCCCGCGTGCATCTCACGTACGTCACTTATATGAACACTCACACCCATATCACCCTCAAAAAACCCTCCCTGTTTTAAGTTTAATTTTAAACTGGACTCAGCTCTGGCCCAAACTCCATCGAAAAATCCTGCCCTATTTTTTCTATCTACTCGATCTGTAAGGACCCTTTTGGTCGGCGAAATACTATTAATGAAGCTCTCAATATACCTTGAATTTTCATTCCACACTATATTTATTACGACTTCTGGTAGAATAATTACAACTCCCATGTGACGTTGTACCGAAATTATGCATGTAAATCTACCAAATTTGTTGTGTTTTTAAGGAACCATAAATGTTTGAGATATGGTCCATACTCCTCCAGGTCTTAAAGAACCCTCCCTGAACATTGATGATTCTTTAAGAAATTGGCAGACCCGCAGAGACAGTTTCCTACTTAGCATCAGCTTCCGAATGACATACTTGCTACTTTCCACCTATTTGAACCAGGTCTCGGCACCTTCGCTATAAGCTCGATTACAAAATGATTTTCCCCCTAATCGAAAACAAATTCAATGTTCTGAGCAGTTCAATATTGACCGGAAAAAGGTGAAAACTGAAAAGATGAACTAAAAGAAGTGTCACCCTCCATTGACCGACGGTGGATTTACCCAAAAGCCCATAATGGACATTTGGAGTTTGCCTCGTGAATCGTACCTGAGAGATAAGAGAGTCGGTACACTTAAGCATCCTTATGACCTTCCAAGCTATGTTACAACCATTTTCTCATATACGAATAATATCATTCTAATTCATAGTCATAATCGGCATGCAAACGATGTATCCAACACCCATTAGCGCACATAACGACTTAAAAGCTTGTGAAATTTCAACAATTAAGGCCAACTGACATGGCCATAGCTTTCTTTATATCTAGCCCTCATGCATAAGAGTTGGGCATGTCCAACTTTAATAATGCATAGGGAGTAAGGTCTTATGTCCCCTACCACTTGATATAGTTTATTTTGTTTGTTAATAAAACCACTCGGAATCTAAGTTTGAAACTGGGTGGTTCCGTAAATTTTAGATAAAAAAAATATGTGAAAAAATTTATTTGTTAGGTCAATTCTTTTTTGTAATACTCTTGCATAGATCAACCTGCTCTTATATCCTAAACTAACAGATATTTATACTAGGTAAGGATTATTTTATGCTAAGAACATAACATTAGATCTTTTTATCAAAAACTTTATTTATTAATATGAAAACTTGAGTATTCCAATTCAAAGTCTTAAGATATTAGTCAAAGTTCTACTTTTATAAATTTGGAAAAATTGAAATAAAAAAATTTAAAACTTTGAAAGGGAATTTACTGCATTCTAGTTTTTTTTCCACCCTGTGTCCGATGTTCGGTACCCGCACTAGAACCCGACTATATCTGAATTTGTGCTGCATAAGGCCCCATTCGGAGGGAGGGGGGCGCTCCCCACCAAGGATTTTTCCATACTGCATTCTAGTTATAGTCAAAGTTCTACATAATTTAGAAATTCCATAAATGCAATCCAAAAATATGTACCAAATTTATGCACTAAATAGTATACATCCTTAGATCCCGAGAACTTTACTCCGAGGAAATCTGAATAATAGATTAATGGACTGAAATGAGTAATTTTAAATTTTATTATGATATATAATGATTCTTAAGTCTTCGAGAATTCCAATTCTTTTTCTCCTTTGTTTTTGGGAACAATGGATTGATCTTTCATCCATTATCACAGCTTTAAGTGATGACTAGGGCTGTCAAATTTGGCCCAAGCCCAAATGACCCGCCCAACCCGTTCAAGGTTGGGTTGGTTATTGACTCGCTCATTTATTGAACTTAGCCCATTTTGATCCAACCCATCTCAATCCAATTAAAGTTGGGCTAATTTTTAGCCCAAATTGATCCATGAGTAAGTTTGTCAAAATATCTAAGAAATAATTTTATTTTTTGTTTAATATTTTAAATATGACCATAACAACAACAACAACAACAATATAGACCCAGTATTATCCCACAAGTGGGATCTGGGGAGGGTAATATGTACGCAGACCTTACCCCTACCCCGAAGGGTAGAGAGACTGTTTCCGGGAGACCCTCAGCTCAAAAAGGTAATAGGAGCCGATATATTAGTACCATAAAAATGCATAATAAATAACAGCAATATAAGGGATATGAAATACAAAATACGAAATACGAAATAGATGGCTGGTATAGTAAAACTATCAGGTAAAGCCTGCATCAAAAGACGACCAATGATAAATATGACCATAACAAAAGCAAAAAATCCTCATTTTGTAATTATACAATTTATAAGAAAATAACATATATTAATTAAAGTTTAATAAGAGTTAGGCGGGTTGAGTTATGACCCGATTTTAACCCATTTTGACCCAACTCATCTTAGCCTAAGTAACTTTTGGACGGATCATTTGACCCGCCCAATTATTGACTCAACCCATTTTGACCCGTCCAAAATTGACCCAACCCGCCCATTTGACACCCCTAGTGATGACTATGTTAGCACCAAAGAAAACTGAACCGAACGATACTGGATGGGATCCTAACCTCACATACATAGTTCAAAAGCACTCATAGAGAAGCTATAATTACTTTACGCCATTAAAATAAGAAAAGGATTTATTTTTTTAAAAATATTACTCGAGTACACAGTTCAATAAGGAAGGATTTTAAAGTCAAAACTTTAATTTAATTTCAAAATCCTAAATATTAAGAAAATAGTACAAAAATAACATTTTATTCAATGTAAAATATATTTTAAAGGATAAAAAACCATCAACATTTTGTGTTGGAGTGCCATGCTTTAAAAATAGTATTGATGATTGTACCAAGTTGACTACCTTATTTTTTAGATTAGTAATTCCACTTATCTGTCTCCCGAAAACAGCTTCTCTACCCTCGGGGTAGGGGTAAGGTCTGCGTACATCCTACCCTCCCCAGACCTCACTAGTTGAAAAAAATTAGTAATTCCACTTATCTGTCTCCCGAAAACAGCTTCTCTACCCTCGGGGTAGGGGTAAGGTCTGCGTACATCCTACCCTCCCCAGACCTCACTAATTGAATTTTACTGGGTATGTTGTTGTTGTAGTAATTCCACTTATCTTACAAAAATTCCTTACACTATTGAAATGCATCTCAAATCATGTTTGAAAATGCATCTCATTCTTGTCTTTAGAACTATCATCTTTATCCAGGACCTGAAAGGAATGAAAAATCATCATTTGCTTTCACTTTGGTGAAACATCACCTATCAGCTGAAAGATAAAACTAAAACATAGACGGTGTTATAAAATCCAGATATGACATCAAGTCATTAGGAAAGAAAGATATCAAACTGTACAAATTCCAGTACATGGTAAACAAAACACTCCAATCGAGTTGTTTTGAGTGTTCAGAAAATATTATTTAAGAAACAGGCATAACGCCCATTGTCGCCGTTGAAAAAAGAAAAGCAAGTACCATTGTATATAACTAAGCTAAAATGAAAGCTATTCAAGGCTTTAGAACAATCGGTTTTAGTCTTCACAAGAGCAAGAGCCAGAACTGATGCATTATTGTGGGGGCAGACACAAATAAGAAGATGATCTAGCCAGAAGCAGTTTTCTTTTGCTGGAAGACGACAGCATAAACTGGGACTATAACACCAATGGCGACTGCAGACCAAACACCAAGGGTCATCTTCAGCTTCTGATTAGACATCCTGTCTAAGTTGTACATGTGCTTCGCGTGAAGATAGAATGGCTCATCATGGCCATGTCCACCCATTCTTCTTACAGTAGTTGAGTGGATTCCTCTGTTCACTGTTGAATCAAAAAGTTTCTAAATTTCAGCAAGGTGCGATGTATAAAAGCATGAACCTCTTTGGAACTTGAATGAAAGGTAGTTATAATATAGAAAGTCAGATGCAAACACAATGAGCATTCAAACTTCAACGCTAAACAAAAGGGAGTTGCAAGGGACCAAAACAAATGAAACTACTATTAATACAAGTCTAATGACAGAGTATGGAAAGTTCACATAATGCACGGAATGCAGCAATACACAAAGGCATTTGATGCAGAATATTACATAAAATCACCTTATCAATACGCAAAGGCATTTGACGTAGAATATCACATACAATCATCTTTCTTTTAGCCAAAACCCAACATACTATCATCGTAAAAGAGGTGCGGTAAAAGACACATAAATAGGGAAATGAACTAATTTGCATGAAATCTGAAAGTGATTATTTTGGAGCCTCAACTTATAGACTGTCTGGCCAAGCTTCTTTTCGGCCAAAAGTGCTTTTTTCCAAAGTTAAATGTTTGGCCAAGCTTTTAAAAGGAAAAAAAGTGCTTTAGAGTAGGAGTAGAAGCATTTTTTGAGAAGCGGAAAAAATTAGCTTCTTTCCAAAGAAGCTTTTGTGAAAAATACACCTAGAAGCACTTTTTAAAAGCCTAGCCAAATACTAATTGTCGCTCAAAAGTGTTTTTCAAATTAATTAGCCAAATACAAATTGTTCCTCACCAAAAGTACTATTTAAAGTACTATTTTGATTAGCACTTCTGAGAAAAGCACTTTTCAAAATAAGTTCATTTTAGAAGCTTGATCAAACATGCTATATAGCTCTTTACTTATAGATGTTTATCGATGACATAAGACGGTTAGAATGGCAGTTTTTCAAGCAATTGTTCAGTGGCAACTTAGAAAAACTTCAGCAAATGAGATTCCATCTTATGCTAAAAAAATTGAAATATTCCATTTGATATGAAGTTGCTTAAATAATTTTGAGAAATTTCTTTGTTTCGGCCACCAGATTCCAATGTGATTACAAGTTAATAATGTCCAATGTAACATAACAAAAAAGTCAAAGTTCTAGCATGGGAAAAAGTTATTGTAGGAAAAGTTTACTCAATTCTATCAGCAAATAATCACGTCCAGTCAAAATTACCCCAAGTACAGCTGCTACCAAAGCATGAAAAATCACATTGACTAATACACATATTAGCGTATGTAAACGTTGCCAAACGTTAATGAATGTGTATATGCCCCATCAAGTCATTTAAACGTGTTTCCAAACAAGGCTTTTATATGCTTCAAGGTACGTGATAGAGTGCTATGAAGAATTCCAGAGGATATATTCAAAAGAAAGGCCCATATAATCTATTTTTTCATTTCTCCCCATCATTTTCCTCATACTCTATCCATCTCCGTCATGGATCTTGTTGCACCAGGTTTCCCATGACAGTTGGAAGAGAAACAAGAGGTCTGAGACACAACTTTTCTCACAACCAGGGCACAAATTTAAAGATTTATACTGCAACAACTAATCCACCAATGATGATATTTTCGGATTTAGCTCCTCTCCAATAACCTATCCCTCCATTTCCTCCAGTTTAGTCTCAAAGTCAACACAAGCGTTCCCTTAACAAACTAGTGGTTCAAATTTGCTTGGTAAATCCAAATACTTTAACTGTATCTCTCTTCCTCTCTCTCTGCTCTGTAGCCAGAAAAGAACCCCTTCCACTTCCTCCCAAATCTTTCAAGCAAGAGAAGATGAACTGTGTTGGATCATGAACGCAATTTTGTCAAGAAAGTTTCGAGTCGTCTTCGCTTCTTTTGAGAAGAAGGCTATTCAAGCATAAGGTCATCGTCTCTTTTCTTTCTTGTGTTTAATTGGCTTCTTCAATGGAGGCTTATGGATAGAATTGAAAGGACGGTGAGGATTGTTCCTAGAATCATAGGGGAAATGAATCTCCATTTCGAACTAAACAACCAGCGCGCTTGTTCCTATTTCATTTTCTTCTTCCAAGTCCTTGCCCTGAGTTACTTACAGAATCTCAAATCTTGAGGCGCTTGTTCCTATTTCATTTTCTTCTTCCAAGTCCTTGCCCAGAATCTCAAATCTTGAGGCCGGGCCTCAGATGGATTATTCAAAGATTCAAGAAAAGACCCTATAATATCTTAATGATCAAAAAAATGACCCTATAATGCCGTTCACCCTTTAATAGGCTAAAATGAAAGTAGATACATGTTGAAATTTCACGCGGTACTATCATCTTTACAGATGGAATTGCTCACAGCCTCACAGTACAATCCACAGTTCACCATAAGGATATCCTCCTACAATTTTCTATAAGACTGATTATGTTCTCTTGGAAATAAAAACCTGCTTTTCTCTATTTTAGACTTGAAAAAAAAGAGAGGAAAACGGCAAAATTTGGTTGCCGAAGAAATGAAGACTAATGCAACTTCCACCAACAAGGCTCCATAGTTAAATCTCAATCGAAGTGAAGGAGCCTCAACTTGAATTAAGAACCCAAATAAGCTTTATTTTGCACCCCATTACAGACCTGCCCGCCATGGAAGCAATTTCAGAAGCTCATTTCACCGACACTGCAAAAATCTTTATCGACCTCTTTCTCAAAGGAAGCTCTTTCTCAAAGGAAGCCGCTACTTTTGGTTTGACTTGGTGTTAGATTTGTTTACATGCAATTCTTTTGACACATTTCGGAGGAAAGGAAGGGATACTTTCAGGCAGTGGAAAAGAGAGAGAACTTTGAACTAGGTCAAAACATTGGGCCAAAGAAAATAAATCCGAACCATTAATTTGTTAAGGGGACACGTGTAATGAATCTAAGACCTGACTAGAGGAAACGGAGAGATTAGCTGCTGGAAAAGAGTCGAACTCAATATTTACGAAACCAAAAAGACAAAAGACATGACAGCCCCTTTCATCATCATATTTATTTTTATGAATGGTTAAGAGATCAACTCCTTTCACCTTCATATTATGTGCAGAACAAACTGTACACATCATATATTTATGATCGTGCGAAGGTTAATCACTAAATCGGGGATTTCAAGTCAAAAAATTTGTACATGTGTGCTGAATTAAAAGAGAAAGCTATTTACAAAACCTTATAGTATTGCCAAATACATCACTTTATGTTTAATAATCCGAACCACCTCATCTAAAAGTTTAACATATAAGAGATAAGATACTGTCTTTAATTAGTCATTACTTTATTAATTTCTTCTAGGTGACAGTGACGGAACACAGCTCTAGTACCATGTTGAATCGTGTGAATCACATCATTGACAAGTTTAAGCTATCAGAGAGGTGACGCTTTTAATTAGTTATACTAGGCCAACAGCACTTTTTAAAAATGACATTTTACGGTTTACTGCAAGTACCAGAAGTATGTAACTTGCTATGTGAAAATGTACTAAGGCCACCAATCCTCAGAAATAGGAAAAAGGGAAAAAGAAAAAGGTGTCATTAAACCATGGCACTTCCATTATAGTAATAAACTAAGCTTAGCTTCAGACCAGTGTTGTGAAAAGCGCTCGCTTCAGCGCTTTAAGCGTGACGCGAAGCGAGGCAGCCACTGTTTCGCTTCTGTAGGGTGAAGCGTAATAGGTAGGTTGAAGCATCCGCTTTTGCCAAAAAGGCGAGAAGCGATGGAAGCGCTCGCTTCTGTTTTTTAAGTCACTGACAAATAAAAAAACTCAAAATCGGCGATAAGCAGAGCAAGCAGCGACTAGGGTTTCAATTTTCAAGCCCAGGTATATTTTCTTCTTCTTTTCAGTGCTTAAAATAGCAGCGAAATGCTGCCAAATTTTTTTCCCCCCTTCAGTTCTTCTTATTTTTCTCATTCTCTTCTTCTTCTTTCTTATTTTCGTTTCAGACCTTAAAATTGCAGCGAAATGCTGCCAAATTTTGTTTCTTCAGTTCTCCATCTTTTGTCCTTAGTCTCATTGCCAATTGTATTGGCATTTACATTTGTTGTATGTGGTTGCATGTGTAACATGTGTTGTCTATGCAGTAATTATTTTAGTATTTTTTTTAATTCTGCTTCACTTCAAAAAGGCGAGCGCTTCGCTTCTCGCTTCATGCTTTAAGCGAAAAGAGGCTTATCACTTTTCCTCGCTTCACGGAAAAGCAAGGAAAACAAATTTGTATAAAGTGAACTAAATTTGACCAACAGCTCCCTTAATCCAATTTGTATAAATTCATTATAACAACATTATGCTGGAGTAAACATATACATATTGGTCAAAACAAATTATTTTCTTTCGCTTGCGAGAAGGGGCAGCCGAGTGCACTAAGCTCCAGCTATACGCAGATTCAGGAAAGGATCGGACCACATTGGTTCTTATGTAATATATATGCAGCATTAACTTGCACTTTTGCAAAAGACTGCTTCCATGGCTTGAACCCGCGACCTCCTGGTCACACTGAACCAACTTTTACTGTTGGCCAAGAAATGTAGTTGGCCAAGATACCTAATAAGCCTAACCAGTTGAGTTAAACCTCATTGGCCTGAGATTTTCTTTTGATCCCTGGTTCGCAAACACATGTCAATAGAAATGATAGGTGCGATGCATAAAAAGAATTCATTTTCCTCTTTTGGGTGGGTTCGGGTGGGGGGTTCACAATACAATCAAACAGATCTAGAAGAAAATAAAACCATGAAAATAACCGATTCGATTCAAGGGGCTACAATAAAACCGATAGATTTACAGAAAACACCCATCAAAGTACATCCAATAAAAATCAAAATAGATTAAAAAGAACACAAATTGATAATAAAATGGAAAAAATGAAGGAAAAAAACACAAATTGAGAATAAATGGAAAAAATTGAAGAAAAAAACCATGAATGAGTAAGCAGAGGTAGGAACTGACCGGCGTTGGAAAGGAGGGATTGGGAGGAGTTGATAAGCTTGGATGCACTCGACCTCAAAGCCATCGCCGCTCTGTGTGTGTGTGTGTGTGTGTGTGTGTGAGAGAGAGAGAGAGAGAGAGAAGAGTTCTATGGGTTTTTTTTACGGGGTGGTCAAAATCTGAGCTTTTGCATGTTCAAATTTATATAGTGAAAAAAAAAAAATCGATTTTATTGGGAAGTTTTATCTTTTTCCTTTTCCTTTTTCTTCTTTTTTGGTTCTTATTTGATTTATTAATTAAATGTATAAAACAACAACAACCCAGTATAATCCCACAAGTGGGGTTTGGGAAGGGTAATATATACGCAGACCTTACCCCTACCCCGAGGGGCAGAGAGGCTGTTTCCAGGAGACCCTCGGCTCAAGAGAGCAACAAGAGACAATATATTAGTCTTATCAATAGACTCATAATAAATAACATAAAATATATAACATAAAATAACAAAATAACAACAATATAAGAAATACGAAAAGGATGGAAAAAGGATGTAAGGTATACTAATATCCAACAGATACAACCCTGCATCAGTAGCTGATCAGTAGCATCCTAAGAGTAACTCCTAAATGGCTAGTCTCACTCTAGTGCGCTGTAGTAATATTCACAAAATTCCCCCTAACCTACAACGTTAATGCTCGACCTCCACAATTCCATGTCAAGGGTCATGTCCTCAGTAATCCTAAGTCGTATATATATATATATATATATATATATATACGACTTAGGATTAATGTATATGTATATATAAATAAAAGAAAAGAAAATATTAAAGGTTTTATATCTTGTTGGAAAACATATATATTTATGTACTGACACAATAACAAATAAAAAACTAGATATAATTCTTTTGAAAGAATCGTCATTTAGTAGTAGTTATAAGTTTATTCCATGTGACACTAGAGTTAAATAAGTTTTTTTTTTTGCCGCTATTTTCCATATTTTTTTATATTTTTTATTATTTTAACTTATAATTTTTTTTATGTAGTCTCTAGATACATTAAAATTTTAAAAATATTGAAGATTCCATATCTGAATTCACCAAATCGTATCATATAAATTAAGACGAATGGAGTATACATTATATATTTTTTCTTTAAAAAAAATTACTGTCTATGTTCAGAGTACACTTTCCCTATTGTGATTCACATTATTTATTTTGGTGATATAATAATAACATATCAATCAAAACATACATAATACTAGAATCATATTTACCAACAACAACAATAACAACGACCCAGTATAATTTCACAATTGGGGTCTGGAGAGGGTAATATGTACGCAGACCTTACCCCTACCCCGAAGGGTAGAGAGACTGTTTCCAGGAGACCCTCGGCTCAAAAAAAAAAGCAACAGGAGACGATATATTAGTACCATAAAAATGCATAATACAATAACAGCAATATAAGAGATATGAAATACAGAATACGAAATACGAAATAGATGGCTGGTATAGTAAAAACTAGCAGGTAAAGCCCTGCATCAATAGACGACCAATGGCATTCTTAGTCTAACTCCTAACTGGCTAGTCTCACTCTATTGTGCTGTAGAAATATTCACAACTTTCCCCTAACCTACAACCTTAATGCTCGACCTCCATAATTCCCTGTCAAGGGTCATGTCCTCAGTAATCCTAAGTTGCGTCATGTCCTGTCTGATCACCTCTCCCCGATACTTCTTAGGTCGCCCTCTACCTCTCCGCGTGCCCACTACAGCCAGTCGCTCACACCTCCTCACCGGTGCATCAGTGCTCCTCCTCTGAATATGCCTGAACCATCTGAGTCTTACTTCCCGCATCTTGTCCTCCATGGGGGTCACGCCCACCTTCTCTCGAATATCTTCATTCCTAATCTTATCCATCCTTGTATGCCCGCACATCCACCTCAACATCCTCATCTCGAATTGAATCATATTTACCAAAAAACCAAAAAAGATATGAACAATATCTAAAGCCACAAGTTTCAAAATCAAATGTTACAAGAAACCACGTAAGATAACCTTCGGTAACAACAGCACTTGTGTTTACAATCTTTCTAAGGAAGATGATATGGTAAAATAGTGACATTAATATATAAAATAAAATAAAGGAGAGGACTAATCCTGGAATTCTATACTTTTGGAGTTTTGGTGATGGTGTCATTGGAACTTGTCTTCCAACTTGGGCCTTTGAGATCCTTTGGGCTACTATGTTTGGGCTTTATGTGTATAGATTAGGGGAATTTTTTCGTTCTTATACAATATTTGAAATGTTATTATTAAAAATGTTTACGTTTAATTATTTATCCGATTTAAACAAGTTTTAGCTATAAAATATATATATTTGTTTAAACTAGAATCCTTTATGCGGTAGTCTTCCTTATTTAGACGCTGGATTTTGGGATCGTGTATATTTCAATCAGAGATTTTACTAACGTAATCATCGCACCTTAATAAGCCAATGTATTTGTAGAATCCTGCTATTACGGTGATTTTCTCTGATTATCATCGCATCATAATCAAGTTTTATTCTCTGGTTTTCTCTGTTTCCTTTGGTTTTCCATAAACGAATGTTTTGAAAAAAAAATAATTGCAAATAATTAGCTACAATTGTATTAAATTTCGTGACATAATGTCAAAATTAGCGATTATGCGTCAGCTAAATGGTCACTGGGATAGCGTTGGGAGATACAAAGATTTTGATGTTAATAAAATTGTAGTCAAAAGATTCAAATTATAGTCAATTGAAATCCGCAATTACAGAGCATCTAATGATCGATACCTACGCAAAAATCATCGAAATCAAATACACTATCAATGAACGTTGTTCTCCAATTGAAATTCGGGACGATATGGGAGTTCGAGTGTATATGGAGACGAAAAAGGAAAATAAAAACTTAGGAGTATATCCGTTATGTATAACAGCGCGTGATTTCGATTTGGAATGCATTATCTCTAATTCGAGCACAATTGGAGGTTTGTTTTTTAAGTGCTGATATTTTGTCAATTTCATGTGTTCTACAATTTTACTATAACTTATCTACAATAATACTACAGAACAAATGTAGTTCAATTGTTATGTCTCTTCAAGTATTCTGTCAAATACTAAACACTTGAATATACAAAGGTCTGAATTACTATACTTTTAATTGAGTGCAGGTTCATCTGATTATCGTATGTCTAACGTGGTACAATTGTGAAGTTGGTTGATAGGCCAACATCTCCGAAAATTGTAGAATATAAAGTATCATCATAACAGAACATATACCAAATGTTATTGAAGCAGGCCAAGTTTACCAATACAAGCAAACTATTGTCAGTGCAATGAAACACTATTCTATCATGAATAAGTTTTAATTTAGGGTAAAAAGGTCTAGTGCAAGAAGACAGGAATATTTTATTTGTCAAATTCATATTTTGTATAAGTTGTAGTTTTTTTGTATACAAATTGTTTAATATAAGATTTTGTGCTTAAAACAACCTCGGATTTTGTAGCTACAATTTTCATAACATTTTTTGAATTGTTTTTATTCTGTAGTTACAGCCTCGTATGTGTTGGGGTTAATTGTACGTGTCACTTCAAGTCCACCAGCATAAACAAATCAGCATTGTTCAAGGTCCAAAAATTCAACAACACGCATGCTCTTTGATGGACAACACATACATACAACCGCAAACCTACTGCTATGGTAGTTGGCAGCATGGTGATGCCAAAATATACGGATCCTAAAATAATATACACACCAAAAGACATACAAACTGATGTGTTGTCGAATCATGGTGTGAACTTAACATACATGCAAGCTCGGAGAGCAAAGGAAAAGGCTTTGGAATTTTTGAGAGGTCATCATGCTGATTCCTACAGTTGTTTGCCGAGTTATTTGTATATTTTGGAGAAGACTTATCCGAAGTCGGTAGTAAAATTGCAGAAGACTAAAGATGACTGCTTCTTGTACGCATTTGTCGCAATTAGTACGTCCATCAAGGGTTGGGAGCATTGTAGGCCAGTTGTAGTAGTTGTGGCACCTTCTTGAAACCGGCATATAGGAAAGTCAAAGATGAACAGATCGACATGCATGTTAAATCACACTTATACGATATTGGCTATCACAGATGGTCTCGGGTACATGCTACGGTGAACAAAACGTAGACGATGACATCAAACATTGTAGAGTCATTAAATCTGGTAACCAAACATGCAAGAGAGCTACCGGTAGTATAACTATTAGAGTACACGAGGACTCTTCTTGAACGTTGAACTAATGAAAAGTTATTGAATGCAAAGGGTACGTTCACATACCTTGGTAAAAAAATATAACAAAGAGTTGGAGGATAACAGGAAATTATCGTAGAAGATAAGAGTAAGATATAGCCAATAACATCATATCATTAATTCCATCAAACTAAATACATGTTGTTAATTGTAGAAAAGTTATTGTATAATTGTATTTATTTTGTCTTGTATCTGTTGCTGACAACTTGTTGTGTGTTTGTAATGAAATTGTAGGTGATGTCTTCAACATATCACATCCATATTGTGATAAATGGTGTGAAGCGCTTCATTATTTGCCTTCAAAACAAGAGATGTAGTTGTGGACAATTTCAGCTTGATGAACTTCATTATGCACATGCTTTGGCAGTTTTGAGGCACAAGACAAATCTTATGAAAATTATTGTTCTCCTTATTACACGAGGGATAGCCTTTTGCAGAATTATGAAATACCAATAGACTCGCTGCCTGACAAAAGCAAATGGAATGTACCACAACATATAGTTGAAGAAGTTGTAATGTCACCTACCGAGAAAAGATAGTCGGGGAGACCTCAAAAATAAAAATACAAACCATATGATGAAGTAAATGTAAAAAAAAGTACAAGGTTTCATGTGGCAATTGCGGACTAGAAGGGCGTAACAAAAGATCTTGTAGGAATGCTCCCAAAAGAAAATAAAAATTGATACAGCTTAAAGACTTTTTTTTCATGCGTATTGTTGATGATAATCTGTCCTTTTAGACATATGAAGTTGTATTTGTTCTATTCTGGAGAATTAAGCTGTGTTATAATTGTGTTTCTAATTTGAATAAAGATTGTCTCCTATAATGAATGTTTGATAAACAGATTTCAACTCCTGTTGCAATTGGTTTGTAGT